AATTATTTTATTAAAATATACATAAATTTTTTAATTTTATGTATCATAACGTCAAAAGTGTTATATATATATATAACATGCATAATTTTCTAATATTAAATAAAATGACATGCAAATTTAATTTTATATTATACTATGCTAAAAACATGTACATGCTATAATATATTTTATATATAATATATTTATATTGATGTAACATTAATATATATTGATAAAAATTTATTTTAATACAAAAGTTTTTAAATATTAAATTCTCAGTTTTATAATTTATTATAAAGAAAAATATCACAGATAATGATTATTATCATATTTATAATATATTTCTATTTTCTTATTATATTCCATGTAATATAAATTTAATTGTATAACATTTAAATTTAAATAATCGTTAAATACTTTGTTAAAAATTATTTTGTTTCGAATGACATTTGATTGAATATTAAAGTCAATGGTCCTTACCAAGAAGACCAAAAGCTGGTATTAGACGAGGAAAAATGTCTCTCTGCCACATTGTTTTCCAGGTGAATTTAGTTTGAGTTGGTTTATGCAATGGTTTCTGACATTCTTGGTGTTCAGATTCTTTTGATACACCATTGTCAGTTGTAGATTCTTTGTGAATGCTGCCTTTGTTAGCAAGCAAATATATATAGAAACTAAGTCTTATATAATGTTTCAGCAATAGTTTTATTCCAGTATTACTACATATATATATATATTATTTTGTATGTCCAATATTAGAATACAATCAACATGCATATCCAAAAAAATAAATCATGCAATATAAAAAAACTTAAATTATATTAGCATTGCAATATAATTGTATACTAATAAGAAATACAAAGTATCAATATATGTGTAAAAATTATTATTTTTTTTATATTTTGTATAATTATATGATATTCATAATTATTATAAAATATAAAAATTTTTAATATTGTGAAAGCAAATATGTGCATTGAAATTTTATATGAAAAAGAAATAATTAAACAAAATACTACTTACCAACAATTCCAAAAGCTGAAACAATTCTGGCAACTCCACCAACATTATTTCTTTGTCCAGCACGTGTACGGTTACCCATATCTATCATATTTACAAGATCCTTTATTTCATCTTGAGTATATTCTCTTTTATCATCTACAACAACTAATTCTTTAGATTCCATACGATCTATTTTCAATACTCGAAATCGTGTTAAAGTATTATTTGATCCCATCAAATAAAATCTCTGAAATATTCATAAATATTTATGAATATTTATTTTTAAAAATATTTAAAATACTTATTTATAAAATATTTATAAAACAATCTTACAGATTTTGTTTCATAAAGAGCAATCTTTTGTATAGAAGAAATAATAGGATGAAATACTACAATTGGAATATTTTCATCCATTTTGAATAAATACTGATTTATAAATATTAAACTTTTTTTTCAATATTAATAATTTTTTTAAAATTCTTTCCGTATCAATGACATTTCATATAATCACGAGATCAATCATAGACAACATGCAGGCAAACTTTGTCACATAATTACGTGTCAAAAGTAAGACAAGCAGAGTAAATAGTGGAAGAAAAATAAAAATGAGAAATCAACGCCACCTCTAGGATACCGCAAAAACTAAGTTAAGATTAGAAAGATGGATAAAGAAAATTATAAGAGAAATTATAAGAGAAGAATAAAGAAAAAATAAGAATTAATGTCAAAATATTTTGACATTTTGAATATTCTATTTTATTCTATTTATTTAAAGAAATATTTTTAACATTCAAAAATGACAATTCTTGTCTTATAATTTCTATTTCTATCCTTCTCTCATTTCCTATGAGTTTTATTCCTTTTTACGATTTTTATTTACGATACTTTGGAAAAAATCCTGATTTCAATAATTTTATTCTATCTTCGTCTTTCTCTTATTTTCTTTTTTATTTATATTTATTCTGCAAAATTTATATCTTCAAAAGACCGTTTTCAATATCCGATTAATTTTATTCTTTTTTTGTCTAAATGATTAAAATCTTAAAATATCGATATTTTCTTTATATTCTAATATTGGTATTTATAATTATATATTAAAAATTATATTAAATATTAAAAATATATAGAAATAAATATCTCTTTAATAGTATATTTAAATTTATTTTTATGTAATAATTAAAAAAATCTTATAAATTAAAATTATTTTCTTTATGTTG